GTGCGCCACCACCGAGTAGCGGTCTCGCAATAACTTCGGCACACTGATCAGGTTCATCCCGACGCGTGGCGCGAAGTACACATTCTTCAACACCAGGGGTTGGTTGAACTTCCCCCGGAGCGTGAGCTTCACCGTACCAATCCCTTCGGCTTCCACTGGATCGCCCGCCGTGTCCAGCATCTCGCGTTGGGGCCGCAGACTGCTGAAGCAGCTCCGGTCCCAGCAGATGTGGCTGGTTGCGGCCGAGTCCAGGATCCACCGGGGTTGCGGTGCGTGGGTATAAAGGGTCGTCACCCTCGCCCTCACGATATTGATCCTCGGTCTCTTGGAAGTCGGCGGGCCCTGCCGATCTCCCACCTGGCTTGATGGTATATTTTGCAAATTGTTTCTTGGTGAGCCGGAAACACTCCGTTCAGCCTTCAGGGCATGGTCCCTGGACGGCTGTGCTTCTCGCTGTTTCTTCCAGCACTGCGCGACCACATGGCCGCACTTCTTGCAATAGTTGCATTTCTTGGCAGTCTGCTGCACCGTATTGATGGACGGGCCAGATGCTGCCTGCAAGGGTGTTGGAGACTCTTTTCTCCGAACCGTCTGTTCGGCATTAGACAGACGGTTTCCGATCGTGGTCGGGTTCACTGGATCCTTGTCATTCTGAATGGCATCCACAATCAGGACATATTCTGGTCCGATCTGCGTCAGCAAGATCGCGACGTGTGCTCGATCGCCGATCGATCCGGGCGCGATGGCATTCAATCGATGTACCAGCAACCGTACACGATCAACGAATTCGCGCGCACTGCCGCAGCGCTCGCCAGTGGTTTCGCGAAGCTGGGCGAACAGCTCGCAGAACGTGGCGAGTTCCATCCGCCGGTATCGTTCTTCGAGTTCATTCCAGAGGTCACGAGACGTCTCGAGTCCCGCGACATGAATGCTGATATGGGGGGACAGGTACCGGAAGATGGTGTGGTAGGCCTCGGCTTCGCGGCGCGACCATTCACGGTGGCGCTCGAATGCCTGGACCTCCACTTCGAGGCGCGCTTCAATGGCTCGCTGCCTCACCGCCCCGTTGAGGTGGGGCTCCACCAAGGGGTGGATGTCTGCCGTAATTGGTTTGGCATACTTGAACAGGCAGTCGGGACGCTGTAGGTCGCCCGACACAACATCCCAGACCTGTCTAGCTTTCAGGTACGAGGTCATGAGACGTTTCCAGGTTGCAAAGTTGTCGCTTCCTGTCAGAGGCTCAATGGCCGTGACGACTCGATCGGGCGAGTCGTGGACCAGAGTGGACATGTTGTTGCTTCGGAAAGTGGGGTAGATATGTAACCAAGAGGGTCAAGTTGATTCTCAGGTGAGTAGAGACGGCACCCGAGAGATTGCTCCCGGGCTCATAACCTGTTGTAATTCAGAGGTATTAATTGATTATTATTTCAGAGGGAAACATGAGTCTATATATACAACGAGAAGATCAAGCTGATTTCCAATCAACTTGATTCTTCGCATAGATAAGTCGGGATTAATTCCGATGATGCGGTTTGGTTCCTGATCTGCACCAGCCTCATAATCACAACATGTTAAAATATGATATAAATCTATGTAGCATACACCCAGAGAAAGAGATTGTTTAAGTCTGTCTATCTATACTATGTAGCTCACCTAGTATTTATAGACATGTTTTGTGTGCTCGCTCAGAAGCGAGATGAATTGTGGTCCCCTTCTATGAAGGGTTCCACGGAAAACAAGCTTCATAGTGGTTCGGTGCTGATAATGAGATTCAGGCCTGATAAATCAGGCAATGAGATCTCATAGTCTCATGAATCTCAACAAACCCTTCCCACCTCAATATATATATATGCAACCTACACATTTCAATTAATTTACATACCACCCTTCAGCTGCAATTACAGCCTCACATCGACGATTCATGCTCTGGATCAACCGGTCAAAGTAATCCTGGCCTAGCTCCTCCCATGCTTTATGAATTAATCCCTGAAAATGTGTAACTAACTGCTCTTTAGTCCCTTCAAATTTATCTAGGTCAGGATCGAGGCGATCGATCATTTCTTTTAGCTTCGCCCAGGCATGTTCAATAGGGTTCAAATCCGGCGAATACGGCGGCCAGTCAGTAGTAGGAATTGCATTCTCCCACAACCACGCTTTAATAATTTTAGCCGTATGCATTGGAGCGTTATCATGCATAAAAATACGCTCCGAATTCATAAAAAATTGAGGTAGGTTTTCTTCGAGGGTTTCGAGATATGACTGTGAAGAGAAGCCTTGTCGTGCGGAGAATGGATCGCGATTCATTTGATATAAATCAGAATAACCACCACCGAATATCGCTCCCCAGATCATGATTGAGATTCGTTTTGATTTCGAATAAGTGACCACGTATTCTTTTTTCCATTTTTCATTCCGGTGGTTTAGGTGGAAGACCCAACGTGCGCGCTTCCCTTTTCCAATTTCTACCGAACATTCGTCGGACCAAACCACCCGCTTCCAGTCTTCCCACGTCCAATTCCGGTGCTCTAAAGCCCAAGCAAGACGTAGAGCGGCAACTTCCGGTTTCAAATAAGGTCTTTTCCGTGCTTTCCAATGTCCGTAGCCCGAGGATTTTAACATTCGAAGGAGGGTATCATCGGATACGGTTAATTCACTTTGTTCGCGTATCTCGGAGTAAAGAATAAAGGGATCACGCGTAATCAAACGTAGTATCAAGCTTTTATTATCTTCCGATAGAATTGGGGGGCGACCGGTTCGAGGAAGGGTTTTTCCATCGGCTCGTAGGGATTGTTGATCGAGGGTAAATTGGATCGTTGAGGTAGATAAACCATGAAGCTTTGCAATTGAGGTAATTGAGCAGCCTATAGATGCCTGGCCGGTAATTTGACCCCTTAGGTTTGGAGAGAGTTCAGTCTTCCTCACCCTATTAGAATTAATAGGGCCTAGGGGTGTTCTTGGAACCATGGTTGATAGTTGAAAATGGTGGGTTTATTAAGACGCGATTTAAAAACGCGGGTGTGGGGCCAATTTTACGGAAACTTTTGCGGTAGAACTGTATATCTAGGTTTTATAGGGAAGCACCACCACTTTCTGGTGAACCTCCGTAATTTTGAATTTTTTTTATTTAACGCGTTTTCTTGTGTCTTTTTACGTGATATAGAGAGAATGCTAGTAATTGATTCTAAATCTATAAATTTAATATAATATTACCTTAGGGATCATGATGAGAAACGGACGTAAAACAGAGGTAATTTAATTAATACCAAAAGGGGGGGCTGCAAAATATGGGCAGAACTAGACCTCGCCAAAACCCGTCCATGGGCGGACTTGGATTGGACCCACTTTGGACGGGAGGCTAGGTGTCCGTCCGTGGACTACCCAAAGTGTCCAAAGCCGCCCAAAACTGCATAAATTTCCTGCATAATCCGATGACTCAGCAAATATTAAACGGTTATCTGCACTAGTTACATTCATTACAATTCCTTTTCGTGGCAGCTGTTCTGAGATTATTTGATAATATAAAAATTCTCATGTATTCTTATTCATCCTACATGAATACTGATTTCCTCTCTTGTTTGTGATCATTTGATATGTGCTTGTTGTGCTGTAACTAGGGTTTCTTGTCAATTGGCAATGCTCTGGTGAGACAAATATATATTGTTTCAGTGCACCTCAAGCACAAAATATTAGCAGCGATTTTACTTTAATATCAGGAAAAATAGTAGCACCTCTTTTTCGTTACTCTATCTATACCTAATAAGGATTTCAGCTCTGCTACAATAATTACCCTAAAGGCGTAACCTGCATACGATTAAATACAGCAAAATTCTACATAGCTCTATGCATGTTACAGTGTCCCCACTTTTGACCCATTGGACTATCCAGGAAGTCCAGGTGGACGGACGGGGGGCCCTCGACCCGCCCACTGGACATGTCCATCGATGGGTCAATTGGACTTTGGCGAGGTCTAACAGGGAGGAACGCTTCCCGATGGACAGCGATATCCACAACCCGGTCGTAGGTGGGGAGGATATCGGCGGAAAACTGCTGTGTCGGGTCATCCTCAAATGTGACGAAGCGCGCAGGTTTTCTGAGCGGAGGAAGCATCGAGGGTTTTACCCAGAGCAGAGCAGAGTGTTGTTGTTCAGAGGTATGAAAAATAACTTGTTATTTCAGAGGGATACATGAGCCTATATATACAATAATTTAGCCAAGTTGATTTCCAATCAACTTGGTCGTCTGTATAGACACTTCGGAGCTAATTCCGACGGTGCGGCTTGGTTCCTGATCTGCACCAGCCTCATATCACAACACAGAGTACAGGATGGGATGATAGCCCCGGAACGAAGGCACGGAGTGGAAAGGGTCACAAACCTTGCACCTGTGCGAACCTGGCTTCTAACACTGCCAACAACACCGCGACAGACACAGCCAAATTTCGGCCAAGCTGCCTTATCCCATGGGGTCCTTGCGGTCTATGCAATGTGATGCGGCGACGGGCTTTCTGCTGACTAAGTCGCAGCTTGAAACATTACAGACGCACAGTATCACTGAGAGACTATTGAACGAATTGGTACATCCTTCCATGATATCGGAATGAATGTACCCAGTGAGCATTACATCACATTTTATCGCGCGACCTGGGGATTAATCAACTCATATGTATGAACAAGAGCTTGGCTCGGCTAAGGCGGTGTGCTTTTTCGTCGATTTCGACTCCTTCCCACGCGACGATTCTCTCCAAGTCTCGAAATTTCGAGGCCTCAGCTAGGACAGAGTGGCTCCCTTTCATGATATGTCCTGTTGCCTGCCTTCAGTCTGCGAAACTTAGTGATATGGGTCTTCTGCTGTTTTTACATTTCTGAGAGTATTTCTGGATTGCGCCTTCAATTCCCCTGACCGCGTACCGCATATTTCTATCTCCATCCCCCTTTCTCCAAATTTCATGTACCATGAAACTACTTCTCACCGTACTCATTACCCCTCAGTAATCTCGTGACATGGCCGCGGAGCCAATTTCTGACCAGCTTCTCGGGTCTAAAAACAAGAAAGTTGCCTATTTTTACGACTCCGATGTGGGCAACTACGCCTATGTCTCGGGCCACCCTATGAAACCCCACCGCATACGCATGACGCATAGCTTAGTTATGAACTATGGCCTCTACAAGAAAATGGAGATATATGTGAGAGTTCTTTTCTTCTCTTGCTTTGCCATTGGCTGACGCATGACTTATCAGCGTGCAAAGCCTGCGTCAAAATATGAGATGACTCAGTTCCACACGGACGAGTACATTGATTTCTTGTCCAAGGTTACACCAGACAATATGGATCGCTTCTCGAAAGAACAGAGCCGATACAACGTGGGTGACGACTGTCCAGTCTTTGACGGCCTATTCGAGTTCTGCGGAATTAGTGCTGGAGGCAGCATGGAAGGCGCAGCACGACTGAATCGCAACAAATGTGACGTCGCTGTCAACTGGGCTGGTGGTCTGCACCACGCCAAGAAAAGTGAAGCGAGTGGCTTTTGTTACGTGAATGGTAGGTTCCTTACCCGTAGCAATGTCCTCGCATGTCCTGTCTCTTGAACTAAAACTTTCCAGACATTGTCCTCGCAATCCTTGAGCTTCTACGCTTCAAGAAACGAGTCCTTTATGTCGATATTGATGTTCACCACGGCGATGGTGTCGAAGAGGCCTTTTACACGACCGATCGTGTCATGACTGTTTCATTCCACAAGTACGGCGAGTACTTCCCCGGCACCGGTGAGCTTCGTGACATCGGTGTAGGGCAGGGCAAACACTATGCAGTCAATTTGCCTCTGCGTGATGGCATAAATGACGTCTCATACAAGAGCATCTTTGAGCCCGTTATCCAGGGTGTAATGGATTGGTACCGGCCGGAATCTGTGGTTCTGCAGTGCGGTGGTGACAGCTTGTCTGGTGACCGTTTGGGTTGTTTTAACTTGAGTATGCGTGGACACGCCAATTGCGTCAACTTTATCAAAAGCTTTGATCTACCGACCTTGATACTTGGCGGTGGCGGCTACACCATGCGCAACGTTGCTCGGGCCTGGGCTTATGAGACCGGCATCCTCGTTGGAGAGAGCCTTGGATCGGATCTACCTTACAATGACTACTATGAGGTAAGACAATCTCTTCTTGATAAGGATATGAAGCTAACGGGGCTTAGTACTTTGCTCCTGACTATGAACTCGATGTCCGTCCTTCCAACATGGACAACGCCAACACCAAAGAATATCTTGCCAATGTTTGTAACAAGGCCATGGAAAATCTCAAGCACACGACCTTTGCTCCTTCGGTACAGATGACAGGTATACCACGGAATCCCATTTTGGATGACATGAATGACGAGGCCGATGACTTTATGGATGACCTTGACGAGGACGAAAACAAAGACAAGCGATTTACTCAACGACGATTCGATAAATGCATGGAAAAGGCCGGCGAGCTTAGTGACAGTGGAGACGAAGAAGAAGAGTTAGCCAATGGTATTCGCCGCCAGTCAGGCACTATACGTCGCCGTAATCGACTCAGTTACCGAAACGTCGAGCCGGAGTCTAGGCTAGACATCGTTCGGACCTCGATGCAGGATACTTCGTCTGCGGGTGATACGGACATGGATCTCGTCCGCGCTTGACACACTGTTGACGAATATAGAATCGCCGCAGGCGCCTGCAAATACTGTTTAGAAGGGCAAGAAGGCCAGCGATGTTCTCAGGTATCATTGATAGCGTCCCGACCCTTCTTGTTCCGGCGTAATCTTTCAGAGTTGGCACATGAGCCACAACCAGGAAAAGCACAATTTCTTTTCGATTCTCCGGTTCATGCGTTATCTCTTACCAAATTAGCTTCTAATATGTAGGATTAGCCGATTCAGTGTCGCTGCATTGCCGGGCCAGTTAATGGCTAAATGAATGCCCGCAGGTGCTTAGATAGTGCGAATATGTGTCAGCATCTTTTCATTCTTCGTGTCATGTGCAATTCCTTATTGATCCTCTACACTCGACTAGGACTAGGACTGGCTGGGTGACCGAGAACAGCGGCGACCAGGGAGTGGCCGTCGCTAACCACACTGATTTCCGTATTAGAGTCACGAGCATTAGAGGACTACGCCTGCATACTGTAGGCGAATGGGAACATTGAAAGTGCTATCTTCAATCCATGATAGCTGTAGGGAACTGTAAAAGTCATTATGCGTGGCGAATCAAGCAGACTCCATATGTCATTGGTCTGTCATTTGTTGATCCATTTGCCACTGGATCATGTGCTCCGCCGTAGGATCAAGCTCTAAAGCTTTGTAAACCACCACAAATCGAGCCTTGTTAGTCATTTTTGATAACTCTGGGGTAGCTGTCCGTTATACGCCAATCCGTCTCACCCCGACCGAGCACCGCTGTAGTACAACAAGCGTGCTTTGGTAGCCCTCTTGACGTTGATGCGATGATTGACGAACTCGACGCAAAACCCGAGAGAACCTGAATCAAATGGTGCAAGTTGGAATTGATTTGCGGTATGCTTCTGTTTGGTTCTCAATTTACTTGCGATTCATGAGTAAGCGTCGGTAGACCCTCTTAAGTCATTGCTTAAGCCAAGGTAAATTAGACTCGGGGTACATCATCATCTAGCGCTTATGCCATGCAACAAGCTGGCTTTTAAGAACCGGTAATTCATGCTGGCCCATCCATGCGTAGCCTAGGTACGGGTGAAAAGCATCAAATTTTGCTGCCACGGGACTGTATACCTCCTCTCAATGCTATCAGCATCCATGTAAGCCTGCAGTGGCTGATGTAGCAATCAGTCACGCTCAGTGCGGACAGCCTCGGTGCGAATAGCGTGAGTTGTTTTCGTACAATCAACTAGCTAATACGTGCCACGGAAGCCATTGCATCCCAAATCATGTAGGCGTCTTTCTCTGTAGGATCTAGCGATTTAGCGATTCGAAGTTAGGGGGTTTCATGTAGTCAACAAGGTGCTCTGGGTTGATGCCATCGGAGATAAGAGAACCCACTAGGTCCGTCAACGCCACGGATTGGTCTCTATCAACTGCGTCAATCTATTTGTTCTCCGTGAACGCCTGTTCGATCTGATCAATGAGCTAATCGCTGACCTCCGGCGCTGGCATTAGGTCGGCCTCTGGGATGGCATCTGCTTTGAGCGTACGTGCGCAAATCTAATAGGAACCAGGCCCCTGTCCAAGTGCGCGCTGGCATTGTTAGGGCTCCGAAAGGAATATGATCATTCATGAATATTCATGAATATTTGCGAATATGAATAATATGTGTTGAGTATCGCGGTGGTCAAAGCTTATGGCGGGACTAGCGATGGACGTTTAAATAGATGGGGTTCCCACTTTTGATAGTAACCTCAACAAGAACATTACAACTACCTATCTCAACAGGTTATGAGCCCGGGTGGCTTTACCTTTGGGCACGCAAGCATCTCAACACAAAAATCCTTTCCCTGCCATTACAGCTAAGCTTCTCTATCAGAAACTAACTCCATGAACTTCAGAAACTGATCATATATTCTCAGTAACTTGATGACAATATGAAGTTCTATTGCTCAAAACCCTCTCGAAGCAATAACCTGGATGAACTTCCATTCACTGAAGACTTACAGACAGCATGCCATCATTGCTACTGTTACACTGTCACACTGGCACGGAGTATCGCGGGGTTGCCCCCATAGCCAGGACATGTCACCGTTTGCAGCAAGCCTCGGGAGTTTCTCCTTCAAATAGCCATAGACAGTATGCCATTATTGCTACGGTTGCACTATGAAACTGGCATGAGGTACCGCAAATGTTACCTACTGCTGGGACATGTCATCATTTGCAGCAAACTCGGTAACTATCTTCTCAGAGTCACCAGCCACAAGGCCATTTCGGAAGAAAAATGGGGAAAACACTACAAAAGAGACACTCTTGGACGGACGAGGAGCTGAAAATCCTACCATACCTCCGGTACACTCGCCATTGGCGCTTCAAGAAAATACAAACGTCCTACTTCCCATCACTTTCTCCGAACGCACTCTTGGGAGCCTACTGGCGCCTGTCCACTGAAGACCGCATACGCCGAGCATCGAGGATCACCACCCCAATAATCGCTCCTCGCGACACTGGTGAAGACCTCCCAGGTTCCTCCCAAGCTCAGCCCACGTGTTCCAGTATCGCACAGGGGACAAGTCGCTATCGCACTCTCGCTCAATCAGAAAACAACATTGAGACTTTGGCCTTCACCCCACCAAGTCCTGTGGGTGGAGGGGATCCATTCATTTCCGACAACAGCAATTCGGGTCGTTACAAACTCAGGCCAAACAGAGCCTCAATCTTCCCTCCAAGGAAGCCGGAATATCTAGTTGACCGACGCCGTTTCCCCCACTTCTTTAGATCGTACAAGTACTCTCTCAATCTACAAGGAGTCCCAGACAGCGACTATACTCCTCCATCTCGGATGCCTACGCCAAGTTCATCAGATCGAAGCGTTTCCATTGTTTCAAGCCTTCCCAGTGCCGCGTCAAGCCTTGAACTCTTCGGCTTGGAGGTGCGCTCTCTTCAGTCATCAGATCGTGAATCGGCTTCCTCTGATCGGCCCAACGACGTATCTAGCCCTGACTTCTTCAGCTCTGAGGAGCATCCATTGCCAACATGACTGAAGTCACAAAATTCGAGCAATTTGGAATCAATACGTTTTATAATGGAATCCCGATACTGGATAATGCCAGCGACTGGTTTAGGTGGAACCAGAAGGTCAATGAGTTCATTCGGATATCTGCGGTTGCCGACGATGGAGCGACTCCACCGACAGAAGAAGAAGAAGCACGGCAATGGATTTACCGCCAAAAGTTCTATTCCGCGATGATCACGGCAAAGCTGACACACAATGCGACGCAAAGGATCAATGCCTTTGAGATTCCTCGAGTTCAAGTACTGCTTAGGGCAGTCAAGGACAACTTCAAACCAGAAGGCTCAGGCACGTATGTTAACCTCCAACGGCGATACATGGCCCTTACAAGAGACAAGTGTGGGAGCACTCAAGCCCTCGGGGCAGAAATCAGGAAGATCCATGCTGAAAAACTCCTCCTTGACCCTGATTGCGTAACCTCCGAAATTGAGCGAACATTTTTCTTCGTGCATGCACTCGGTCCGGAGTACGAGAGCTTCCGCGATCATATCTTCCGACAAATGGACCTTGTCAATGAAAGAGACGCAAATGGGAACGTCACCAAAGCGGCGCCCACGTTCGACTATATCGAGAATAAGGCAATTGAGGAAGAGCATAGGAAGGGGCAATTGGGTAAACAAGCAATGGAGACGCAAGCACTTCCTGCTCTTGCTCTAGTCCGTGGGCCAGGTGACAAGAAGCTCATCCCGTCGTCGGACGGAACTACTTGTCGAATCGAGATCGATAACGTCCCATATTGCTCCTTCTGCCGAAAACCTTATCACGTTGACTCCGAATGTTTCACCAAGAATCCGAAACTGAAACAGAAAGATGGAAATGGGCCGAAGCCAAAGCCAGGCAGAATGCATACGGGCACACGCAAACAGTTGAAGAAGCGGCCTTCGACGGATGACGAGGATGACGATGCGGGTGGCCCAAACGATCCGAAGAAACCAACTTTCATGGCGACGAAAGTCTCCGAGAAAGATGTCAACGAAGCATTTGGAAACGATATCGAGGGCAATTTCGCTCTGTTCGACCATATTCCCATAATGGTGGCGATAAAGACCTTCTCTATTCGCGACGCGTGGATCGTGGATAGTGGATGCGCTCAGCACGTCTGCAATAGTGCCTCGAGGTTTGTCCAAATAGCCAAGTACCATGGCCCCTCACTAAGAGGCGTTGACACCTCAACGGCTCCCTCGGGAGTGGGAACAGTAAATATCCTGTGCAACGTACGCGGCAGAAAGAAATGGCTTGTGCTTGATAACGTCCTCTATGTTCCATCTGCACACGCCAATCTCATATCGGTGCTCCAGCTTCTCAAACGAGGGGCAAAAGTCGAATTCTCAAGCCGAGATGCTATCCTTCGCAACAAGTCAAACGGAAAGAATCTGTTTACTGCCAGCGAATATCATGGAGTCTACGCACTCGATCTGTGGGCAAGTCTGACTTTCCCCTCTTATCATGTTAGCCCGCAAATGTCTCTGTGGCATAATCGGCTTGCTCATATGAGTGATGCAAATCTTCGGCGACTCCAAAAGCAGGCTCATGGTGTTCGGGACATGGAGCGACGTCATCCATGCAATTCGTGTCTGCAGGGGCGAATGATTGAAAAACCCCACCGCAGATCAGGAAGTAGCAGGAGAGGAGAATACGCAATGGAGCTCCTCCATATTGACGTCGCAGGGCCATTTGACGAGGGCCTTGACGGCAGTCGTTATTGGCTCACCATCGTTGACGACTTCACGGGCTGGATCGAGATTATCCCTATACCACGAAGACAAGAGTTCGTCATAGAATCACTACGGTTCTTCCTCGACCACAACGAGCGCCCCGAGCGAAAATGCAGACGAATACGTCTCGACCGGATATCTGAACAAATGGGAGACGAGATGAAGTTCATATTGTTCTCGCGCGCAATCCAAGCGGAGGTGACAGGAGTGGATCAACACCAGCAGAATGGGGTTGCCGAAAGAGCCCATAAGACAATTTATGATCGGGTTGGGCCTACCCTAGCACATGCGAGGTTGCCGTCTAAATTCTGGCCGGAAATCGCTCGAACCGCAGCTTTCCTCTCCAACCGATCGCCGTCATCGAAGCTCAACATGACTCCGTACCAAGCGTGGTATGGTGACAAACCTGACCTATCACGACTGAGAGTGATCGGATCCAAAGGGGAATACTTGGTCCCGCCAAAGCAAAGAAAGAAGCTTACGGATCCGCGAACAAGGCCATGCATCCTGCTAGGCTATGAGGGAAACACCAACTACCGTATCCTTCTGGGAGACGGAAGAATTGTTGGGACTCCAAACGCTGAATTTCACGAAGTCCTCACAGCTCCCTCCACACAGACTATAGAAGATGTGGGAGCCAGACAAGACGGCTTACCTGAGGCAACGGCTGCTGCCGCAGGGGGGAGTGAGACGGTGGGACTAATAAACCAACCGTCGGTAGGTGTGCGGCAAGCATCCGTGCCTGCTTCGGGGCACCGATTGTCGATTGATCCCCCGGAGCAGCCCCTACCTAAGCCGAGAAACGATATCTCGCACATACTGCCTCGGAGTGACGATGACTCCCGAGTGCTTACCCAGCCGAGTGACGATAACTCGCAAACCCAAGCGTCGTCCCAATCGAGTGACAATGACTCGCAGCCAGCTGTTGCTGTACAGGGAGACAGGACCTTGTCGCCCACGCGCATTGACGATACCCTCGGACCTCTATCGCCTGCTTACCAGGATTCTGTCCTTGGGATTGACTCACCACGCGGTGGCGACCAGCAACAAGGCGACGCTCAGCAAGGGCTAAATTCAGGAGAATGGCAACGATATCCAGAACTCCAACTTGACAGCCCAGTCCATGATGTGCAGCAAGGAGCACTTGATCACCACCCTGAACTAAAGATTCGCGCTCCACAAGCCACACTAGACACGTCTGATGAGAGCGAAGAAGAACTTGCACTAATGAATATACCCGAAGAGAACGTCATCTCAACATTCTTGACGGTAGCTGCAGAGGAAACAGAACCCTTCGAGCCAAAGAACCTGCATCAGGCGAAGAACGACACAAGCTGGCTCGAATGGGAAAGAGCAATGCTTGAAGAAGTGAACTCACTCAAGCAAAACAAAACATGGGAGCTTGTTGATCCCCCCAAAGATCGGCGAGTTCTCAGTGGAAAATGGGTGTTCAAACTCAAACGAGGACCTCATGGCGAAGTACTCCGCCATAAGAGCAGATGGGTGGTGAGGGGCTTCACACAAGAAGACGGTATCGACTATGATGAAACCTTTGCCTCGGTTGTCAAGCCAATGAGCTACAAGGCCCTCTTCGCAATCGGAGCGGCCCTGGACCTGGAGATCGAGAAAATGGATGTCAAAACCGCATTCTTGTACGGGCACATAGACCACGAGATCTATGTCGAACCGCCCCATCACATGACGGACGGCACCCCAAGGGTCTGCAAGCTTCGAAAGGCACTCTATGGATTAAAGCAGGCTCCTCGCATCTGGTACCAGACCCTCACGAACTTCCTACGCAATCTTGGCTTCGAGCCAATCACCGCCGATCTTGGTATCTTCGTTCGGAGCAATATGTACATCGCGGTGTATGTTGATGATCTCCTGATCGTGGGTCCGAGTATCGCAGAGATCAAGAAGATCAAGCGGAGCCTAAGGAACCGTTTTCAGATGACAGATCTGGGCCCATGCAGCTACTACCTTGGGATATCCATCCAGCGAGACCGCCAAAACAGGAAACTGTTCCTAAGTCAAGAAGCATACATTGACAAGGTTGCTCATCAATTTGATATTGGCAACTGCGCTCCCATCGGTACGCCGATAGAAACCTCACCTCTTCCAGAGAACAGTCCAGACTACACGTGCCCTCCAGACCAGAGGACCTCTTACCAACGCATGGTCGGATCTCTGATGTACATTATGCTTGGAACCAGGGGGGACATCGCGTACGCAGTCTCTGTGGCGAGTAGATCTCTGGCAAATCCTGGGCCCCAGCACATAAAGCTCGCTCAACGCATCCTGCGGTACCTCAAAGGAACAAAGAGCCTCAGACTCGCGTACAAGGGTCAGCCTCAGAAACTGAAAGGCTTCACAGATGCAGATTGGGGAGGATGTCGTGACACGAGACGATCAACAGCTGGGTATCTCTTCAACATTGGAAGTGGGGCCATCAGTTGGCAATCGAAACGCCAGGGCGTCGTTGCCCTCTCAACCTGCGAAGCCGAATTTCTAGGGCAGACACAAGCCACCAAAGAAGCAGTCTGGTTGAGAAGGCTTCTCAACGAATTGAATATGAACCAAGGATTAAACGCCACGATCATCTGCGGGGATAACCAAGGAGCCATTGCTCTCTCCTCAACCCCACAATACCACTCCCACACAAAACATATGGAAATCCAACGCAAGTGGCAGGGAGAGGTCCAAGACAACGGAACAGTGAAGCTCAAATATATCCCAACCATAGAACAAATTGCTGATGGGTTCACCAAACCCCTTGCTCGGGAAAGATTTGAGTGGTTTCGGAAAGGGCTTGGCGTTGAATGATTGCTACACCTTATTTGTATTGAACAAGACTAAGGCACAGGGTACCCTTTCCTTCCTTTCTTCTCAAATGAAGTTTTTGAAGGTTTTAATGGGGCCCGTCACCACCGCGATCACATAGTCACTGACACCATTGGTGATGGTGGCCATCGAGTGGGAGTTGAGTATCGCGGTGGCCAAAGCTTATGGCAGGACTAGCGATGGACATTTAAATAGACGGGGTTCCCACTTTTGATAGTAACCTCAACAAGAACATTACAACTACCTATCTCAACAATTTTCGATATTAATTCGAATCGAATCGAATCTGCCAAAAGTTCGATTCGATTCGATTCGTGCGGAGCGGTAGACTAACACCCCTATCAGCTTTATAAAAGGGCCAGTGACCATAAGTCTAGATCAGTGCAAGCAAGTGCCCGCGCGCTAGTACGATCAAATTGCTGCAAACCCAATTTTGTGGAGCTCAATATTCACCCGGACGGACTTCCCCTGCCGAGCACTGACTGACGCGAAGATCAACCAGGCTCCGCACTCCAGTTCCCAGGACGCTCAGTGCCAAGCCCGTAATTACGGATGATTTCAATACACTATGATCTATTGGGTGTAATACTCATGAAATACTGTCCTTTTGATAGGCTTTGCTGGTTGAATCAGCATCGATTGATATGCCACACCATGCATGGCTGACTACTGACTTGTGCTGCACCTCCAGCACCCAACTTGCTCAAACCAAACTTTCTCGCACACCGCCTTCAGCGGACATTGGAGACATGCCTGCTGCTGCTGCCAAGCAATAAAAAGACATGGGGTATGGGTAATGGTATCGTAACAGCGCGCAGACACGGCATGCACATTCCTTACGCAGCAGCCTAAATGAGATTCCGGAGTCTCAGGGCCAATAAGACCAATATGAAGTGGGAATGTCCTGCCTGTGCTCCAAGTCACTAGACCCATCACATTATGGAGCCCGAGATTTCGCGTGGAATCGAAATAGCGGTATGTCAAGTGGATCGGTCAGCCATCCACTATTTAATAATTTGTATGCCTCAACTTCCATGGATCGTCCCTTCAAAATTCACTCCTCGCTTCTTCTTCTTATACTGCACTCAATCTCAGTTGATCAAATACGCATTCGCCCGGATCATGTCAGTGTCAGATCCTATCCGAAATTCGGTTGTTGAGACTTCTCACTCCACTTGGCGCCTCGGTCACACTATTGAGTGCGCCCGACTCCCAAAACCCGATGACAGAAGTGCAATAGCTTCCTGGAAAGACGGGGATAATTTTTATATACTTCGACTCGCAAAATCTGAGCAACTACCTGATGCTACGCCAGCAAACTCCTGCGAGGTCCGCTTGATTCATGAAGGAGGCACTCTGTCAGCAGTATGGGCCATTGGAAATAATGCAATCTGCAAAGTCCACCACTGGAGCCCCAATACCACTTCAGAGTGTGACACCATCAAATTCATTCAAAAGATGGTACCTAAGGTACCTGTACCTGAAGTGATAAATTCTTGGGTGGACGGGGATCGATCATTCTTGGTACTGAAAAGAGTCCCGGGCATAACGCTGAGGGACGCTTGGGAGACTATGTCCGCTGTTCAGCAAGAGTCTATCTTGGATGAGGTTGTTCATATGTGCGATTTGCTTGCTTCCGTCACTTCGGGGCGACTTCAGAATGTAAATGGAGGGCCTGTGCTAGAATCATACCTTGCTCACTCGGAAAGGAATTTCTTGGAGCCGCTGAGTGTGTATGAAAGCAAGAAATATTTCATTCAGGAGAGCATTCGTTCCAATCCGGAGATCGAGGAGAAGTTTCATCTCTACCACGCCGATCTAGGGCCAGGGAACATAATTGTTTCCAATCAGAAACTATCAGCGATAATTGACTGGGAGTCTGCTGGATTTTACCCACGTTTCTGGATCTCAACAAAACCTTCCGTTTCTCGGGGATTGAATTTTCATCCACCAATCCCAGGAATCGCTGAGACCGAGTGGAGAAAGCGACTCAGAGTGAAACTTGAAGACAGTGGTTATCCGCGCTTTGCAGAGTGGTACATGGAATGGAAGAATACAAACTCTAGATAGTGAAATCAAGCAGAAGGTAGCATCCACCGATTTGCTTCAAATAGGTTGTTGCCCCCGGTCGGTAGCCTTCTTTCTTTCTACCTGGAGTACCGATCTTTGAATGTTTTCCCCTTCTACCTCAGATACTAACCTCCAAAGGCACAATATTGCTAAGTGAAATACATATTTCGTAGACTGCTCATATCTTCCTCCTTATATTATGATAGGGTATCAATTTCTCATAAACAGCGTGGCCATTATATACATATGAACAACACTATGAAGCGTTGGATTCTGGGGTAACTATCAATCCTTTAATGATCGGGCTTCACCTTTTAACCCACAATCCGTGTCCTCTAAACGAATACTTTCTTGAGCTTGCATGTTTCAAGATAAGCATATATTAACGATACACTATGCAAATAAACTGCATATCCCAAGCTTAGGTTGAAAGTATTGAACGTTTAATTGTTTCCGCCTTCTCCAGTCGGATAGCTTGATCGAACTGTCCGGCATTGAAGAAATATACTCGGTCCTTCGGTTTGGAAGTTCGCATGCACTGCTGCCTTATCACAGATCTGTCTCCACTTGCTACCTCGATCTACAATCTGAATCAGTGATATTTCATATTAGCTTACGTAGAGACAGCACATTATGAAGACTGGTAACTGGCAGCTTCAATGTTCTATTAGCCCCAGAAGGAGACTAAGTAACAGAGCTGAGTATGTAACAAAGATTGAGGTAGTCTTCCATGCTATTTCTTTATTATTCCATATTTCGCCTCGCTTCCCATGCCTCGAATGAACGGATAAATGAAGGACTATTCGAAGGGACCTAGCATTTCGTGTTGTTAGTCGGGATAAGTCGCAACTAGAAGCTGACATACTGGTTGACCAATTGTCATTGCCTAAACTGTTTGAGGCATTTCTGTTTTGCATTTCTCGCATTTCTTTGCTCCAGAAATATTGCCAAACTTGCAATCCTGATTCGGACAGTCCATTTTCGATTTCGTATGTCAGGTCTGAAAGGAGGATGTCAACTGTGAGGCATGGATAGATTCTTGACTGGTGGAACACTGACAATGTTTTGGTTTGTTGGAAAGTTGATTAATATAAATCGATACAAGTACAAAACTAGGGACTTGACCTTCTTTAAATAAAGCTTCCGCATATATCGTGTGGGCATTATAATGGCAGCTTAGCACGGACCGCCCCGACTTGTAGAAAGGAAGCGACACCATGGAACTACAAAACCATAGACCTGATAAGCAGCGAAGCAACTGCGCCAGTCCGTGCTCCAGGCGGCAGTATCTATTGTCGTTTGTAGCCAATCAGCCAAGTACAGTTGAAAGGAAGAACAATGCTACATACACGCAATGAGATGTATCCTGGGAGTATGTTACCTTGGCATTGCATAAGCAAGCTTGCATTGGCCGGTGCAGTTGCAGGCCAATTACTAATCAACGGAAGCCCCCACTTTCCCTTTCCCGAACCCAACTTTCTCAAACCCAACTGTGGGGCTGTATTTGTCCAAATTACAGCACAGTCTGTAGTCTCTCTGGGCAAGGATGGGACAGGGCTGCCCGGGTAGCTGAGTCCCATCCCTGCCCGTGCATTAGCGCGTCAGGTCACTGGTTTGTCTCAGAATGGCAAAGTCTCATTTGTCTAAGAACAGAGCGAGTAGCTCAGCTTCGTACAATTTTATTCAAAGTTGTATCTGTCTAGGAGAATGATCCCAGATAGATTCACAGGTAGGCTAGCATTCGCGGAAAGTCTTCGATACAAATATCAGCAGATATAAATTGCGCAGTTTCTATTGGATAGACTAGTGCTGCGAACGCCAGTTGCACTCGAGTAGTGAGTGTGTGTGTGGGGACTGCAATCTATGTTTGCAAGCTTATAATAGTATCATACGTGGCGCGCACGGATATCATTGGCATTGGATTGGAAACTGGCTACCATTTCCCCCGGGTCTGATTCGTTGCGGGCCGTGCCGGCCTGTGAACTACGAATTTATGGTGTTATTTATCCATCAAGGGAAAAGACGCAAATGGTGGAGCATCTAACATACTCGGGCGGATATAGAAATTCAACCGGAGGAAGAGAGCACGGTGTGAAGCCAGAATTGTAAGGGAAATTGCGGATGGAGAAATCGAGATTCAGGTCAAATTGTATAAGAGGATGACGAAGAAGAACCTCTAAATTGAGCCTATTGTATCTAGATAAAGTAGGTAGACGACCTATATAGGTTCGATGAATTAATGCGATAGTTTTGAAAATTTTGCATCAGACCTTGTATTGTTAGGGAGTTCTGTGGGTCATGACCCAGTAATACGAATACTGGCTTAACCCTAATGCATGAGTAGTACGTATCTGGATGGCTGGACAATACCATCAGTACAGGTGATCCAACAGCGTAGCCCAGGTTTGCGGGGGCGACGACCGTTCGACCATACCACACTTTGTTCGCGCGCCAACAGTAAAGTGTCTGGTAGTCAGCAGGAGCCTGCCCCGCCATTACAGGCAAATTGTCCGTGCGTTCTCAACCAATAGTAGTGGCCTATATCGTTGGAGGTGTGGACCACTCAGTAGTGAAATACTTTAACTAACTAAGGGTTAGTTACCATACAATGGCATAATACATATGAGAAATGCTAGAGCAGGTGGCACAGCCCCCCTTTACATGTGGAAAGAAGGGCGGTGTCAGACCCCTGTGATCAGAAGACAAGCCGAACTCCCTCAGCTTCCACATCTACCTCCAGCTGACCGGAGCCGCAGACCCCTCATGCTCTATTTCTCCCGCCGTCGACGGAAGGGGTTTGGGCCGGCTTTTATTTTGATTAGCCATTTGTCCTCGACTGGAAGGCTGCGTTTTTCAAATGGGCTTTCAAGTTGCTTATACTGAATCTTATCAAAAAGAAACTATACGGGGATGACTGGCCTACCGGTGATGATGATACACGGTCTATGCTTCTCTTAAGCTTGTAACTGTTTCTCTGTGGGATGGAAGTTGATGCACGAACGCTGAAATCATCGCTAGGTGAGGTTTTCGGAGAAAACATGCTGGGGCTTTCAATTGTGTGTAGTCGGCTGCAAGCACCGTTTGCACACAAACATTGGGAAAATATAGGGGGTTTACAAGGTGCGTTTGCAGGCATATATGATTGGATGCAAGTGTGGGGCCAGTGTGAGCTCTTCTTTTCAGCGTAAAGAGTTAGAAAAGCCCACATTTTGTGATTGCAAGCTCGTCGATCCTTTCGCGGAAACCCATTTACTCCTCTTCCCGATAGCCAATTTTGAAAACTACTCGGCGACCCATCACTCAATTGGCCAAACCACGGTATATGAGGCGCAAGGTTCACTACCTGGCTGTAGCCTTATCGTATACTTCTATTTGATGTAGAGTGAATACATAGTGCACACTGCTCTCCTTCGACTACTTTTTCTTCTCTTTTCCCCTTATATTTCATTTCATTGTTCTATATTCGCGCCTTCCAAGATTAGGTCCACCACTGATCCGCCATTCATTCCTTCCCTTCTATAATATATCCCACTTCCTCAATTACAACCAAAAGCGATTGGTTTCAGTCCCGATTCACCAAGCCAAATTGCTCCTCAACGGTAAATTGGGCGCCCAAGATATACCCAGTGTCAAGGACCCTGGTTAGTTGCGACAACAAAACAAGACAGCCGCGCCTGGCAGCTTCAAACACCGCACACCCGGGCTCTCCACTTGCAATGGATCGCAATCCTTCCCCGGATGAGCACCATGTGTACGCGGGCCCGCTGCAGCCACCAGGATACTCCCTCATGTGTAATCGTGAGCTGCCACAATTAACACCAGAAAGCACATATGGTCGACCGAATGGCCATGGCCTGCCCATGCATTCCCGGCAAGACCAGGTTCCTCCTTACCCAAACATCCACCAGCCAATGAATGGCGCGCCGTACGAGGGCTCACCTGATTATCGCGCTCGTATGGGCTACCCACCCCTGGATCGGATCATTTCGAGCCCTCTGCCTTCTGCATCACATTCAACAATTCGCGTTGCCCAAATGGCGAGTACTACGCCGCCTGCCGGGTACGATCGGGCTTTTTGCCAAAGCGAGGCGTTTAGAGCACGCCAGCGTAAGGCAAATAGAGCTACGCAGGTAGGTCAAGCTTGTGGAAGACAGTATTGTTTTAGGAAATTTTTGAACTAACACTCGAGCTATATAGGCTTGCAATCAATGCCGAGCTAGGAAAGCAAAGTGTGATGAGGGACGACCAAATTGCAGTCACTGCAAAGAGAACAATCTTGGCTGTGTCTACAAAGAGGTGTCACCGCACAAACAAGAGAAGACTACCCAGCTGATATTGGACCGGCTCTCCCAGATAGAGAACCGCATGGAGGAGCGAGACAACAACATGGATGAGCGTTTTGAAAAAATGCAAATGCAAATGCAAGAGCAAATGCTCAACAATTTGGGTAAACTACCACCTCAGACTGTCCAAGATCGTCCGGTCCTCCCAGCACCACCTCCACAACCCGTCATCAAGCAGGACTTGCTTCTCAGAGCAGTGATGCCTCAGACCCAGGTCTCAACTCCAAATATTTTGGACCTCGGGAGTCAGGATGCAGCAGCTCCGAAATTTGGCCAAAAGCTTGGGCCTATAGAACCGAGGCTCGACGATCAGGAGGCCGAGGGAGATCTCTCCATTCCGGTGGAACACACTACTGCAGCTCACAAGCTATTGATGTGGCCGTCAATCAAGAGGCTACTACACTCTGCAGAATACGACGAGGATTATGTGATGCGGTTGGAAGAAGAGCGCGGTCTCATCAGCATATACGGCCAAGGCGAGATCTCATACACAGCAGATGACAGTCAATTACCAACAAATGGTGACCCCAAGGGTGCCCAACCCAATGGAAATTGCGTAGGACCGGATGCTGATGTCGACATCGATGAATCTGGGAACTTGAAACTGGATGCTGTCACTGCTAGGCGCTACTACGATAGCTACTTCCAGCACATGTT